TTATGTACAAGTATTAACACAAAATAAACATGATAAAATATTTAACCGATTGAAAGGGATCATTTTGTAGGTTATTCACTTTCGAGTTAATCAAAACCAAAATGCTAGACCTCTTTCTTGATTATAGTATAATCCAGTTTAGGCACTAATGATCCTGCATTCAATTTCTCATGTAGTTTTGAATGTGCATCACTAAAGGATTTACAACTAAGACATTTTCGTTTTCAACTTTATCACAACTGTTGTATATTTGTGAAAAAAATACATATATCTTTAATAAAACTACGAAAAGAAGCCAAATAAACCCAACTATCTAGCATAATCATTTATTTTGTACAAAAACTATCACCATTGGATGCCGGCTCAGTGGTCCAGTTGGTTAAGTGTTCGCGCGCGAGACAGAAGGCCCTGGGTTCGAATCCCGTTCGCGGGATCGTAGATGCGCACTGCCGAGGAGTCCCACAATAGGACGAAACGGCCGTCCAGTGCTTCCAGGTTTTCAATTGTGATGGTCTAACATCAATTGGTTCAAGATCTCAATCAAAAACCTAATAATCTCCACAACTCCTATACTAATAAAAATATAATTGTCAACTTATCAGATCATCAAACTTGCATTAAATATCTGATTCCACTTTATTCACCATTCTGTTATTAAAGCAAGAGTGTAATATTATAAACTAATTTATTTGAACATTAGATAGCTATTTCTTTCTGATTAAATAATTCATAGATGTAGGAGCACCATCACTCATATAAGATAATCAGATTTAGAACTTTGAAATCTTTTAGTGAGTATAAATCCATTGAGTCATTGTTTTTAAGTTGAATGATTCATCCACCTTGTATTGTTTGTTTGAATCTTCTCATTGACGTTTAATAATGCAATCAATCAGTTTGTTATTGGCATACGTGCATGCTGCGCGGTTTGTAGGAGTGCAATCCTAAACATCAATGCGAAAATTCAAACAAACAATACAAAATGAATTTAAACTTCACCCCATTGTACAAGCAAGTGACTGTCAGGAAACAGTAGCTGAGTGGATAATGCGACGGCGTTTGAAACGAAGGGTACTTGGTTAGAGTCCCGGAGTGAACATCAATGGTTAAGATCATGAGTCAGTTGAAGCTAGACCACCATGGAAAACCTGGAAGCACTGGATGAACGTTTCGTCCTATTGTGGAACTTCTCATTAGTGTGCATTTACGACCTCGCCCCCTACGAGAGTTGAACCCAGGACCTACTGGTTTCGCGCGCGAGCACTTAACCACTAGACCACTGAGCCGGCATCCAACGGTGTTAATGTCTAACTTCAACTAATCCACGAAATTGAGCGACACATCCACCATTGTCTTCAGTCCGTTACTATCTCACAACAGACCCAGTTGAACTTCACTCGTCACTTCTTCTCACTAGAACTCCAGGATATACCTCTTGAAGTCAGTCACTAGTAAGCATATGTTGATTAATATCAGATGGGTTTTGTGGATATTATAGTAATTTCGAATCTCGCAGGAGGCGCGGTCGTGGATGTGCACTACTAAGGAGTCCCAATGCTTCCAGGTTTTCCATGGTGGTCTAGCTTCAACTGACTCATGATCTTAACCATTGAAATTTTATTCCACATAAAAAACCCACACATATTTACGCAATGAATTCTGTCTTTCAATATTTTAATTCTATTTTGTTTTTATTCAGTAGTATCAATTTGATTTTTGTTTGTATGAATAATGTGTACAATTGAATTATTAATTTATTGAATAAAATGTGTTACTTTTGTAAAATGATATTCAACTATACTTTTTGTTTTCAATTCATTTATTTTGACATATTAATTTTACCGAATGAATAGATAACCAATCGGTGAATTTAATTTATATGTCTAATTGTTTAAATATGAATGCTTATACTGCAAAAGTTATACATCAATCAAACAGTTCGAAAATGTTAAAGTAATAACTAATACTTTATAAACCTTTATTATTTCCTTATGTTCGAACTCTTAAGTTATCGGATCATCATTATAATCTTTTCATAGTACATTTGATTACTGATATAACACAATTAACAACTTCGAACTTATTTAGTCAGCTTTGAATCATGTTATTTGTATGAAAAACAATCATTCTAAACAACCGCATAAACTAAACTAGACAAAGTAGGGTTACAACCCATGATTTATTGACAAGAAGCGAATTACTCTAAAATTGAAGTCATCGTTCTTGGCAGAGTAGTTTTCATAGATTTCTTACTGGTTTTCAAGCCTTATTTATCAATTAATAATTAGCTGAAATTCATGTCTTCAAGAATAGTTTAACACCTAACAAAATCATATGAATACTACTGTTTATCTCATCATCAATTCAATACATATTACCTGGAAGTGTGTTGATTAGTCTGATATAAGTTGAAATTTTGACAGTAAAAATTTACAATTGGTTGATCACTGGGTGGTGATCAATGTCATCTATGTCCTTCTTAGTGCAGATCGAATACTATCAACGAAGTCGCAATGTCCCCACTGGTCCGGGTGATTCGACATTGCGTCCACTATATTGAGATAATATGGTGGTTGGAGGTAGTCAACAAGAAAACCCTGGACCTAGGATTCGTGCTACTTGGCACTTGTAAATCAATCTCAGTCCTACAAGAGGTTAGTCGCGGCCCGGATAGCTTAGTGATAACGTCTCTGACTGTGAAGCAGGGTGATACAGGGTCGAATCGGTCAGGGAGCATCAGTTCCCTCACGAGTGCAGGTACACCTTGCTGACGAGTACCAAATAGCACGAAACCTAGGTTCAGAGTTTTCTGTCGACTACCCCCAACCACCATCTTATCACACTGAAAAGTTTGTTAATTAACTTAGTTGCTAGCACATAAATATTTCTTAATTTTCGGAAGATTTATGCCGTGTATTGTCTGTAAATTATAATAGACATACAAGCAGAATTTAGCCACAAACTTTATCCATTGATTGTCACATATACTGATAAATTATTTAAATAATGCTTACTTCTTAATGTCACAGTAAACTGACGAATTTAATTAAAACGATTAGTAAACTATTTCATATTGTTTCAAATCATAACAAATTAAAATTAAATGTTTTACAAACAAATAAACTACAGTTTACTGATTATCAATTTAACCTTGATGTTTTGATTAACTGTCATAAATGATAATCAATAAACTGTGTCCTCATTAAAGAAAACCTTAGATACCATGATACAAACTTCTAGAACATGGTGTAATAAATAACACACTGAAAATCTACTCTTGAAACAAAATATACACATAAAGTTAAGGAAAACTAGAATGGCTTTATCAAAGTTAGTCAAAAGCTAAGACGTTTTGGCGCACACTTGCCCACAATTTAAATATTCTAACATCTAAAAGCTCTCCTTATTGAAAACAGAAAGTTTATATCATGGTGTCGAATATGTAATACGTCAATAAATGTGTTTTATGGTTTTGGAACCAAGTTCAGTAACTCGTGTTTTAGTTTGATTTGATCTATCGTTTTTTTAGACTATTTTGAGGTCAACATCTCATGGTTTGTTTCCTTAATGGATTTATTGGACTAGTTTTAAGAGAAAACTGAAATGAGTGAACCAAATAACTGGAGTTAGCCAATAAGATTATTCACATTTTGACTGTGGTATTTCTTAGTGTTTTTGGACGAAGTACCTTTTCAGATTCAATGGTATTATTGTTTTTTTCACAAATATTGTAGTGAACGAGAACACAAGTGGAGACAATCAAATGTGTTTGAACACAATATTACAGAACATCTTAGTAAGATCTGAGACTCGTACAGTAAATAGTTCATTTACAAAATGTCGACAAACTGTCTCAAACTTGATTGTTCCTTTTGCAAATGTCAGTCAATCTTCTCAGACTTCACTGTTCTTTGATTTCCACAGCAATCACTCACTGTTCTCATTATCTTTTCTTGGAACTTCTTAACCTTCTGCCACCAGGCATTTCACTTTCAATTGATAATACATACTACTTATATCTGTCAATACCAGTAGCACACATCACAGCATAAGCTTTCAATAATCGATTTTGTCATAGAATCATTATTCGTATAGTTTTTTTATTAGAAAATGTCTCTTACAGGTATTGGACAGATCAGTTACCGTATAGTAGACATTATCTTACCCTAATCTTCCTCAATACCATCAGTTTCATACATAATTTATCATGATATTGAATTTTTTATTTTCAAAACCGGTTCTTATTACTATGTGAATAAACACCAACATGTTTAGAAGAAAACAAGTTTGTGATTATAACTCAGTTAGTAGTCTAGAAGCATACAAAATCGAACAATTTTTCACAGAAATTCTTAAAGAACCCTAAATTTAATCACTTCATAATTAATAATTATTTGTGCTGCTCTGATGTGCTTTTTGGAGTTGTTTTTTTCAAAAAATAAAGTTGTAAAGTTGTCATATGATACTTACATGTTCTTAAAGTTTTAGAATGTTTCCGTTACATATTTTATTTCATTCCAAATATCCTTCTTTTAAGACTGAAATTTTGTACTGATCAATTTTGTAACTGTATTTGGTTTATAATTGTTACATATTATAGGTAATATAATTCAAGTAATCTGTAAAACTGCAGGAAAATTGCCTTGATGTCACTGTTTGATCTATAATTGATTTTACTGTCCCTCATTACTATTTGATACAGATGTAGGGGTGTAAACTGTCTGTCAGCGTTAAAAGCTTAAACAATTTGTGTTAGTTTGTAGGTATCAATGTCAAGGTTGAACTTGATAGTTTCAAATAAACTGAGCATTGAGCAGAACGTTGATAGAAATTATGCTATTTATTTATTTACTCTGAAGAAGTGGCTGACATTACTTCATAAAATGTCCGAAATACAATTTTCTACTCATTGGGATATCACAACTAGTATATTTATTATTGTTTTGCGTGAGATTTCGGTATATCATATTTTCTTATTTCTACTATTGAAATTGACATAGATAATTTGTGCAAATGATTTGCAAAGTCCAAGACCATTAGAAGGATTCGGATTTTCACTTGGATTGAATGGTGCCGACTTAGATGAAAATGGTTATCCGGATATGGCGATTGGAGCAGCTTTGTCTAGCTCTGTTGCAGTGTTACGAGCTAGACCTGTAGTCAAGTAATCTCCTTCTTTAGAGTGCAATTGTTTTAGGGTTTTTATAATTTACACATTAATTTTTTATTACACATTAACGTGAAATAACTAGAAATTCTCAAATCACGTCGATATTTGGGCTTTCATTTTTAGGATCTAGGTTTTCAACGTCTATTCAAAAATCAATGAAGCGATTCACGTTGTGTTCTTGATATTTCGCTTAATAATATAAATAAAAATTGCCAAAATTATTTTGAAGCTTAGCTATATAAACTGAAAGTTTATGGTTTATCCTAACATTGGATGTACTTACTCTTAATAGAATTTCAATATAAACTCAATACACTATTAACTTATGATGTCAGGTGTACGCGAAATATACAATATTTGACCAGCTTCAAGATGAATTTCTTAGAATTTTAGTGAGAAGCCGTGATCAATGGAGTCCAGTCCGTGTCAAGTGTGAGACAATTATCCACCACAGATAATGTTTGAATGGTTGCGCAAGATCATGGATCGATTGAAGTTAAACGTTAACAATTTAGGTACCGGCCCAGTGGTTCATAAGTTAAGCGTTTACGCGTGAGACAGATGGTAATGGGTTCGAATACCAAGTGCGGGATCGTTGCTGCGCACTGCTGTGGAGCCCGATACTAGGACAAAACGGTCATCCAGTGCTTCCAGGTTCTCACTGGTGGTCTATCTTAGATTAACTTGTGAATTCAACTATAATATATAATTGATCTCTACAGTTTAGTCAATGAAACTAAATGACTATGTGACTTTATCATTCCTCTCTCCTGAGTCATATTCCTTATGTTCAGTCTTTTTCACTATAATTTCTACTAAAATTATCTCAAGTTCCTTACTATTCACCCTGCTAATTTCATCTTGTCGGACCGATGATGTTTGCTAACATAGGCTAGCCACCATGGAGATAATTAATGGCTACAATTGCTTATTCCTGGCTTCTCTCAATATGGTATACACTGACAATACGATGGTTTCTTATCTGACTGGTTACAAAATAATTGAATTGTCAAACGACATTCCTTGTTCCTACTAAATGGTACAAAACTCAGCCACGAATTTTATTGTATTATATATAGTTTTAATGGTCTTCCTCTATGTTAGAACGCTTCAGTTTAAATCATTCAAACACTGATGTTAGATGTCAACAGAAATTAATTGAATAAGTGAATAACAAAGCTTAAACATTTTCTTATAGATAAATATAGAGCTTGTGAGATTGTATTACATTCATCTACACTACATGAAATTGATCTTTATGTAAAGGATTTTTATTCATAAATCAGAAAATCGTTGAATCCTTATCAGTTTATTCTTTTAAGAACAAAAAGGATTAACTGATAGTTGTCATTTGTTGGTTTTAGAATGGTAAATACACACTATGGAAAACTAAATACTTCCATTTTATTTTTAATGAATCATTTCTCTTAATAATTATATGTCCATTAGTGACTAATTTCAATAATTAATTCTCGGAGCTTTAATAAAATAGTCTAAAGGTCATGCGGTTGGCACGAGACCTGCAGCCTTTAATTCTGAATCCCAATGGGGTCCTAAATAGAAGAGTACCATTTTTGAAAGTGATAACTGTCTAGTGCTTTCTAGTATTCAACAAATATTTAACTGAGCTCAGTTCTTGATGTAAGCTATGCAAAATCTAATCTCGATTGTTTGAAACATTTCATTGAGGGTATCCACTTCAGAAATAAATGTTGCTTGAAATACAGTCAGTCAGTCCATCATTTTGTATAGAATTCTACAAGATCTACTTTTATGACTCAAAGTTTCTGAATTGACATAAATCTTTACCAAGAAATCTTACGCTGAAATTATTAACAGTCATTCCAAGTGAAAAATATCTTTTTCAAATATTTTGCTGTTTTTTTTCTAATTTCACTATCCATATATTATTAAAGTATTTCTGTCATTTATGCAGGCTAAGAGCATATTTAACATTAATGGATGGTAGTACTACTTTGCCTAGTTCATTAAATTCATTAGTGGATTGTACTCATGAAGCTCAATCGATTACTGGATATAAAGCTCCGTCGGCTAAATGTATTGATATGAAATTAATTCTCACATACACCAGTGTTGATGGGTAAGTTACAAATACTATATGTAATATTCATTTAATTATATGTTTAAACTGTTCATTTACCTTGTTTAGTAATTTTTTGTGGAAATCAATAAACTATTGCACTAATTAGAAACAAATTACATCAGTCTATGAATTCCGTAATCGAGTTTTCCCTCCATTAATGTTTGATGGCTTTTAATCCTATTCCCCATTACTTTGAAAACAATTCGATAATTAATTCAAATAATGAACTGAACCTAATAGAATTTTGAATTATACATAATTCTAATTATACATATTAAGATGGATATATTTTCAATGTTCTAAAGAAGAGATGAATTCTGTCTATCAGTGGAGTCTTGGACGCATGTTTCGTCCTATTCGCGACGCGTAAGGTTAAGGTGCTCACAAAATAGAGTTAACATTCACTATACAGCGACCTGAACAACGAGAGAGTAAACGCAAAGTATGCGAGAAGTACTTTACTCAAAGGTTCATTTCAATACAGAAATTACAGGGTTTTTATAACATTTTAAATGTCCTTAGGTTGCTAGAATATTCTGGAATGCTACTAAACATAGTAGCAGTGTGGCAACCAACCAATCAGAACCTCTGAATGTGACGTTTAACTTTCTTGATATTTTTAGCTAAACCTTCAAGTGAACGCTGATTGGATGAAAAGCTTCTTAGTGTTCCCTGATGCTTGCTTGTCTTTTGCAAGAAATCTTCTGGATTACTCCAACATATCAACAAAAGAATAACACCTAAATCACTGAAAACTTAATTTGAATTTTCAATAGTTACTTTTATGATGCATGACGTAATAGTTATTTTTAAAAATGATGCGTATCTTTCTCTATAGAAAAAAGATTAATATAAAATCACCACTTGAAAAATCAAAACATTTTATTATATTTTCCAAAATACTGGTATATAATAATAAAACTGATTATAAATTATTACCTATTTAAGAAACATTAAAATCCCAAAAAAGAGGTCATCTTGATCCCATTAACGTTTTTCACGTGTAAAACTACTCATTCAGTCATTGAATAGGTGTGGTTTCGTCAATGAATTTAAAATTGAAATTCTTATTTGTTTTATTTGTGTTGCTTTTCAAGTATATCTAATTTGACACTAAAACTTATACTATCAACTATCAATTTAATTTGGTTATTTATTCGCTGAAGAAGTGACTTACACTAAGTCACGAAATGTCAGAAAATTTAATTTTCTACTCATTGGGATATTACAAATATATTATTTATTTACTATCAACTTGGTTTAAAAAAAATTTTGAGAATAATATTTTCTGTAAATAAAAACTATATGTCATTACCATACCCATGTATAAACTAGTCGTCACTATTTAGCTAACACAAATGGATATACAATTCCTATCAAAATATTACAAATAGTCAATTATCTTACTCGGCTTTCATCATGAGACGTCATAAATCTTCTCAATGAAGACCTTCTAACTTCCAGAGGAGAGTTTAAATGGCTTGAATTGTTTTTTTTTCTGGTTAGTGTCATTTAGAGAGTTAGTTTTCTACGGGATATGGTCGCTAAACCCATGCTCAACCCTCCACCTTTATCCCGGTTTTAGACCGGTAGCAGTCCCAGAGGGGCTCCAGATGGAGTTAAACAGTCAGTTATTAACCAAACTATTTTCGAAACTATACATGAAATGATTTCAAAAAGTCTAATTTTCTACTGTTAAAACATATTCTACAAATATTACTTTGATAATTTAAAGCCTTTTCTCGCAACTAATCATTGTTTAAAAAAAGAAGTTCATTATTTGTCTAGTTTTCTTATGTAGGTTTACAAAAAGAAATATATTCCATTCAAAGCAGAAAGTATTATTATTGTTATGTGCTCGACAAAATTCTTTAAAGTTTTCAATAATCTATTCTGTTTTTTAACTGACTGCATTAGAATACATACCTATACTACTTGCTGGTAGTACCTTATTGATTATCATCAAAAGCATACTTAACTGATGGCGTAATCAGATTTCAGATAACAGCTATTGAGTTTTTTGTGCGAAATTCAAAATGTGATGACTGATGGGTGATATCTTCTTAATAGTTAAATAAAATCTATGTAAAATTTACTAATGGTCAACTACTAAGACGGTTAATTAATAAACATGTAAATATTAAAGAACAGACAGTGATTTAAAGAAAATTAAGTGATTTTGATATTTAAAATCGAATATCTAACTACTTATGTATTTATCCATATGCTTAAAATGTATTTTCCGATTTGATTCCTAATCATTACTCTTAATTTTAAATCCTAAACCTCAGTCTTAATCGATGCTGATAATCCTAATCCTAAATTTCAATTCAAACTCCTAGTCTCAACCCTAAATTTATTTTACTTAACATTTTGAAATCGACTGAATATATTGCTTGAAATAATTCTGCTATTGATAATGACAGTTGTCTCAATATATTGTGAAGCAAAATTTATTAGCTAAGAAACGTTTCTTCAAACTGAAATTGAGAATATGTAGTTCATATTTTAAACAATAATCTTAAATATTCGTGATATGACTGGAGACCATGAAAGAAAGTCACTCTGTCATTCATAGTCAACATTAAGTTTGGCATAAAATGAGTCATTACAGTGAAATAAAACTAGCTATTTAGCTAAGTAGCCCTATTAGAAATAGTATTAGTGGTAATAGATCAATCAAGAACAATCAAGAATAAACTTCGGAAAGAAAATATGTTAAGAGTGGATATAGATGAGGCAGTTCCGAAGCATGTCACATAATACCCTTAATTAATGATTGCAGTTATCTCTCCAACTTCAGTTACATAGCTTGAACCTACCTGTATAACTCAATTTAAAAACCAATCACTTTATGTGTTAACGCTACACCTTTGTCATATAAAAACATGTTTCATATGTTACACTGATTACTAACTTCAAACATAGATGTCCATTTCAATTGTAGCTCTCTATTTCTTTCGACATTCTGAGCGAAAGTTGTTTTTCTTAAACATTTCTAGAGTAATTGCCATCAAAAAATGATATGACTGGATAGTTACTTCATCTCAGCATGATGTTTCCCAACCAGTGTAAATTCACCATCCCTTCAAGTATTCAAATATGGGTCTTAATGACTCCCATTAAACACTACATCACATAATCATTCCATCGATTTCACTATAAATTTAATTTTCACTCTAATCTTGTAAACGTTATTCAAATAAATAATGGTTTATCATTATTTTATTTAAACAGTAAATCTTGCAGTCCACATAAAACGTATCCAGTATCAATTTTATTGAAATACAATCCAACTAATGAATGGATTACAGAAGGTTGGGATCAAACTTCAGAAAATCATTCACCAAATTACGAAAGTAAATGCACCTATAATCAATATTCAACTATAATTTCCAAAAATATTATGAAAGAATTTTATAAAAATTATACTTTATCACCAATTGTCTTTATACGAGAGAAAAGTTTATCAGATAGTGAAATGATTGTTAAAGATTATTTTAAACGTAATGAATCTGCTTATCTGACGGGTTATGATAGTCCTGGTGGTTATTTACAATTAGAAGGTAATGCTTTTTGTCGTGATCTACACAAAATAAAAGAGAATATACCATTCAATCAAGATGAATTGAATTCAGCTAGTACATTACGAATAATATTTCGAGTAAGTTTATCCGGATACAAACTTGTCTACTTGTTATATATATTTGTTTATGTTCCTTCTAATGCATTTGAATAAGTTTGTGACATTGTTTATACTTCATAGCTTATCAAATAAACGGAAATTATGGGGGAGCTTGAACTTAAGTATTTACATGAAAAAGCTGTGTAAAAGCCTACAATGGTCAATCGTTATTTGTCTTCACCATGAAATTATGTTATATTTTCCGTGTTTAACAAAGCTACATTTATGATTTTAATTAACATAATAAAGTATTGAAAAGTGTCCGGTGGAAAAAGAAGAAAACGAAAAAGGAAACTTTTCTTGATAGTATGTCTAAGATTTAGTTAATTTTGATTGTACTGTAAAAATGACTAATTATATAAGTTAGTCAGTAAATTATGACAGAATTCAATGTACCCAATGGTTAGACGTTGTAACATGATTACCTTATTTATTACCGTTTGTTTATTTAACTCAAATATATCGGGTAGAAATTACATAGAATTTGTTGGGGTCACTAAGAAGTCTTAGTAAGAATGTAACCTCAAGCCTACTAAGAACCCAATGCGATAAGAAGTTCATTTTTCATAAAGTATTGTATACATTTAAATCTGTAACCCATTTTATAGTTTCGTTAACTCTTTATCTGTCTAGGATACATATTTGATTGATCAAACTGATCGTTTAAAAATTGGTGTCAAATGGATTGCTAAAATGACTGAACCATATCCATTAGCTGATCAAATTGACGAGTATCCTGTAGCTGATCCACATGCAAATACTGAACTACTTCAAGTAAAAAAATTTAGAACTTTTTAACTCATTTCTACGTAATTTATACATTATATATATAACGGTAGAAATCATTATTTAATAAAGAAAACAATTGGGCGATAATGTGTTGAAAAATACCAAACTTTCATTTGTATAATTAGTTGACTGATTATTCGAAAATGCAATAAATCAAGCAACTAGTTATTTAGATCAAACGTTAACTGAAACTAACTAACGGATGTTTAGTTCGCTAATACTTTTTAATTTGCTAGTTTTCTTTTCGAATTTTATATCCTGAACTAATAATATATAAACGACGGTTAAAAAACATAAGACATTGAACTTTTATTTTATTCAAGTAGAATACTCTTTAACAGTGAACACTAACAACTAGAAATGAGATCTAGCCCAGGAACTTCAAGCTTTACATATTTATTATGAAGGTTGTCAACAATATTAAAGTATCTCATTGTAATAGGAAACTAAAGTATATCAAAATTAAAAATCAATTGTAGTTTATTTACAATGAATAAGCCAAACACATATAAGGATGTAACGTTCGATTATGTAAATACCCTTATATTTACAGTTCAGTAATTAAAAAGAAATAAAGATCAAACATTTATTTATTTTGCTTGACGTATAATCCTATATCACTATCTTGTAGAATATAGGTAATATGGGTAGAAATATTTACTCCTAAAATGATAGAAACTCTTTTATTCGTGTTAGGTAGTTAAGAACAAACCATTAGATACCTTAGAACTAGGTTTTGTGCCAATTATGATTCTTTAGTAATATATTACTGCAATCCCAGGGTAACGGGAGGTTCTTGTGAGATCCAAACTTATATAATCAAACCTGATAGTTATTACAAATACAAAGCATTAGCATTTATAAGATAATATGCACTTTTTTGGCATCTAATTGGAAGTTCACATTTTTAATTAAAAGTTACTATATACAGATTACTGTTATGATAAATAAACTGGACAGTAAAATAACATTTTATTTCGAACTATATTTTTTTAAAGACTAAACTACGAAGCCACATGGCTATCTTAGTTACAATTCGAATGAGCTGGTATCTAATGATTATTAGTTTGAACATATAACAACAGAACACCTCTAAGTTATTACATTGCTAATCTTAGCTTTATTGCATGTTTATATTCGCTTTTTAGAATATTTTTTTAAAATACGAAATTAAATCATTCTAGTATTTAGTAGTCCTCAGTTTTTCTACAAACTTATTTGTTGAACTATACAATGCTTCATCTTTTCTTCTAACAGTCAATTTACACAGCACATTACTTAGGTATAATTTGGTGGAGTTACACAAATCAATTTATCACTTAATTATGGTATCCATTTCAGAATGAAGTCAACTGTAGAGCTATCGAAAGCTAAATTGACATTTAAATCCATAGTTTAAGTGGTTTAGATGCCGTGGGACATAAATGTTCTGAATTGCATATTATGTTTGAGGTGGTTAGTATGAACTACTAAGGAGTCACAAACAAGGACCAGTTGAGATCAACCAGTAGTTTTTAAAAATCTCCGTAACTCAACATTTTGTCATTATTAAGTCAATCCTCAACAATCAAACTAATATCTTTCAATTATATATATACAGTTCATAAATTCAAATTCTTTTTTAATTTGTAATGTCAGATATCTTTTGATAATCCCTGTGCAATTCGACAATGTTGCCCAACTGTAAGAGTTAGTTATAATGTGAAAGTAACCAGGTAATTGAAATATTTGTATTTATTTTGCAAATTATGTACATTTACAAACTTTATTTCACTATCATCTTTTTGAAATAAACATAACTCAGTTAAAACTTGGTATTTATTTCATGATGGAAGCTTACTAAAATGTTTTCTTCAAATAATCAAAACACTTTTTTTCCATTATATATGTTTATTGGAAGCATCACTGAATGAAATTTTTATTATTATATCTTGGACGAGTTATTTTTTTTATCTTTTCGTAATTCACTTTCACTCGAGAAAACATCGATACATTCTAGAAGAAAACATCGAGTGAAATTAATCTACTTTTATTGTGAATCGAATGAAAAGAGATTAGGGCAACGAAATAATTTACTACCTGAGTAGTTGTCATGTCGGTCAACATCAGTCTGTTAACTCAACATCCTTCACAATCGACCTAAGGCCTCTTGAAATTCTTTAAAATCTAGTACTTCACTTAAATTTATTTCCTTTACTAATAATCTTCTCGAGTTGTAAAACCAACGGAAATTTCCACGTTGAATCCTTTCTATCTGTTCTTGGTTGGAATAGTTAATTTACTTCTACATAAATTACTAGCTTTATTTTGGGGTTGTGGAGATTAGTGAATTTCATTGTGGTCATAAACCTATCAATGTTAGATCATCACTGAAAATCTAGAAGCACTGGATGGCTATTTCGCTATATTATGAGACTCCTCAACAGTGCGCATCCACGACCCAGCACGCTGTGTTCAAATCCAGGACTCTCGGTCTGGCGCTCAAATGTTTTAGTCTTTAGACCACTGAGTTGATATCCAACAGTGTCAATGTCTATCATCAACCTGATTGTGAATGATTTCAATGAAAATCAATACCTACAAATCAAAACATTTTATTCACATGCTAATGATAGCTTTTTTGTCTCAGACTCATATCAGTTACCTTTTACGTTTTAATAACTGTCAAGTAATCGTTTCAACTTATTCTAGAACTATTCAACAATAGTTAATATTAATGAATGTCTATTTAATGTAACATGATAACTGTAATCTTTATAATGATTACACTCCTTCTTAAAATCATTCATATTTTCAATTGTATTTAATTTTAAAAAATGAAGTGAATTATTCTATGGTTTATAATTTGAATTGAAACAACATAGTAACCAGTTTAAAGATGAAATGTGTTAATCAATATCAATATTTGATTTATGAGAGATAAGAAAAAAGAACTAAACTTTCTCGTTCTTATTCATAATGAAACTTTAACTGATGCAGAAGATTTGTAGCTCAGGTGGATGATTTTGATGGAGTTTTGTTCTCTGAGCTGGATGGTTTGGTCGTGGAGCTTTCATCGTTCTTCTGAACGACATCATCAGCACAGACTTCAGACAGAAGTGAAGTGTTTGAATTTCTCCATATGTGTCTCAAAGCTTGTTCTGTGCACCTCGACGTTGATTGGTTCTTATTGACCTTAAATTTGTCAACGACCAAACCATCCAGCTCAGAGAACAAAACTCCACCAGAAACTTTAACTCAAATTACACGAAGTAAACGAGAAATTAATTTGTATTAGAAGTAACAAATGTGTTGAATTGAAATTACCCTAAATATCATAATTAAATTACATATTGAATTGATAGAGAAATAGATCATTATTTGAGAGTAGATTTTTTTTACTACATCCTTCATTGATTCAATATCTAACAGATAGATTAATTTAAAGTAATAGTATAATGGATAAGATATCAGACTGTTCTATTATCAAATATATACGATTTTCTGATTAAAAATACACAATCCAGTATGTAGAAGAAAGATTGGAACCAATATGTATCACATGATCGACTGTTCTATTTAACCGAATAAGTCTTATGATTATATCAATAAAATCTTTTCATCAAACTATTCAAAAGATTTTGAGTGATAAATAAACCTACTCTTACTTTTATTCACTCAAGACAGAGTCTTCTATTTGCGAATATACATGCACAGTGAATCATGTGAGATGCCCTCAGCGTTATTAATATACACTAATACAACACATAAATACCTTATTGGCTAGCTTTACAACTGAAATAACATAATAGAATATAATTCTGGTTTTCATGACGTAGTTGTAACATTGCTCGAAATCAACAACTCTTCGACAATAAGAACTGGATGAATGCAGTCAACACAAGGCCCTGGATGTAGATTTTCCACTAATTAGCACCTGTTCACAAGGTATAGCAACTTTCTCGTCGGAACCGATGTTCCATGTAAGATTCGAAATTGCATCTTCCAATATTGAATTATATCAATTACCTAATAATAGATTAAGTGTTTCACCATGTTAAATATCTGTTAGCTACAATGCAACTTGATCAATAGAATTTATCCAACACTAAAGACTAAACAATACGATATTTTAACTAACATATGTCAAGCCTTTTTGATGTGACATCTTCTAAATGTTCATTCACTCTTAAAGTGATATATCTAGTTGAATGAAAAATTTTAATATTTTCACTGTGTTGAACGTTGAACAAAATTGATACAATCAGAGGTTAATTACAAGTAAAACAAACACCAAGTGAATTTAAACATTTATAGTTTAAAGTCTGAAAGGTCCAGAAATCCCATGTATTCTAGAAGGTGATCATTTATAAGTGCCAGGCACTTTTTTTATTTCGCCATATAAGAGATCACAGTACTGCTGAATAGACCTGAATAAATCATAGTAATATTTGTGGACAACTTTTTACGAATATGATAATAGTTGTTTGTTGCTAATCGATAAATATTCTCCATTTTATGTGTGAGCTTATATAGGAAAATATGAATAGTGTCTACTTTTAAGAATCAACTCGATATAATGTATCTGAGCTAAATTTTACGAAAACTAATCTAGTTGTGTAAAATCCAGTCCGTAAACCAATGAGACTTTACTTTCATACTGAAATCAATAAGTCTAGTAAACAGATATGAAATAGACCATAGATGTTTTGTTCTAAATCAACCAATACTTCTCCCAGTAAATACTTCAAAAGACATCTGAAACTAAAGGTATTTTCAATTGGATTATAAATTTTACACAATTTAATAATCCGTGTATAAGCAAACCTGTCATTTGTTATTCTCAAATAATTCATGGCAATAATCTCTTTCTCAACTTTATCATACTATTCTAGAGATAAAAATGGACCTGTTGTTTATGTGGGTGATGATAATAATCAAACAATTGAATTATCTGTTCGTGTAACAAATATTGGCAATGATTTAGTTTATGCTACTGGATTAGTCAGTAATTTTCTACCAAATTTATTGGAACTTGATTCAACTGTAAGTTGTACTATTGATTTTACTAAAAAATTAAGTGTTCTAACATTTATTAACCACTGAAAGATTAATAAAGTAATGTATTGATTAATTTTTAATAATGTTAAGTTTCAATTAAAGCATGATAATCTGATCCTTCTTAAAGTAATGACTTCTGCGTAATCTTGAAAACCTTTACACTGATAACCAAAACAATTCTGTTCAAAACCCTATAAAAAAGATGTTTAATCGTAGGATATATCTCAGTTGAGATGGTGGAGAAGATTTGTAGCTCAGGTAAATGATTTTGATAGAGTTTTGTTCTCTGAGCCAGATGGTCTAGTCGTGGGGCTTTCATCACTTTTCTGAATGACATCATCCACACAAACTTTAGATAGAAAAAACTCCTATACTTATTTAACACCTACTATATAGATGTATATGTTTGATTCAAAGTTACTTAAATCAATTTAGACGTTAATTACAATATTGAAGTTTTTATAGTATTCTCTATACACAACAAAAAATATATTTTACTAACCGAAATGATAATAGATGGATATTAAAAGAGTATAAAAAAAAGAACTTTATGATTATTTCCATTAGTGACTTCATTAATAACGGGTTAGATGAATGTACGAGAAAAATTTACTTGAAACTGGATCATTTTCAATAAAATGCAAATGATAATATCAAGCAGAAATATTCCACATTTTTTTCTTTGATTTATAGTTTCTGATTAACTCGAATAGTAGATTATATTCAATTGACAAGGGTTAGAATCACTAGGAAAAAATCAATATTGAGTGATTACTTATTGTTTGCTATGATTTTTTTTCTGATACTATAATGAGTACTAAACTTAGTACATAAATGAAGATAGACATTTTAACTTCTATGGAAAGGTTACCTATCAATCGAATAGAAACCAAATAGATAACACATTTAATACTTTATTAATTTGTGACAGACCACAATTATGAATACAGAAGTGTTTCAACTTATTTCTCAAACATATTTTGTCGTAGACTACATAATCATTCATTGAAAATATGAATATTTGATTGAAGAAATACTTTTATATCATTCTGTTTAACCTATAGAATCTTTAAAATCTTATAAATTAAACTGTAACTAATCAAAAGATGTGCATAGAAGATTTCTGGAGACTGTAAAATTTTTACAGTTTAAATCACGAACTGATATTAGCTAGACTACCATCAAAAATCCAGAAGCATTGGACGGTTGTTTTGTCCTAATGTGGGACTCTCCAGTAGTGTCGGATGTGAGACATATCAACCGCAAGCAATGGATATGACTTGCTCAATATCATCTATTTAAGTTATATTCCAACACCGTTTAATGCCGACTCAGTGGTCTAGAGGTTAGACATTAGAGCGCGAGATCGAAGTTTCCGAGGTCGTGGATGCGCACTGCTAAGAAGCCTCATACAAGAACGAAATAAACATCCGGTGCTTCCAAGCTTCCAATGATGATCTAGTTTAAATCAGTTCATGGTGCAAACCATGAGAATCAAAAGATTTATCTTTGTACAGCATATATTATTTATGGTGGATATAAAAACGTCTGTGACTATAACTGTATGTAACATTTTTTGTATTCTCATACAGAAAACTATTGGACAGCTGAACATCAGCTGCGTACATACAAATCTTATAAAGTATAATATTTTATAATATAAAGCTTACTTACAATCATATTAACTCACTTTGCATTGTCCATATAGTTTCACTGATTTGTAGAGAGAGTAGAAATGAAATGAATTGATTGGATTGTTTTCAGATGTTCTCTATGTATTTTAAAATGTCATATTGATATAAGCTTATAATTCGTTTCTTCTTACTAAATATATTATGAGGTCTTTATATCAATAACTTAAATAGTAAAGCTTAGATTTAACGTATAGTTCATTATAAAAGACAAGACTGGAGACAAGAACGGAGATAAGATTTTTAAAAAGTCAGTGATTTATATAGGTTGAGTCTTATAAAAGTAATGAGCGATTTTGTGAGTAATATTATGCTTGAAGGAATTATACGGTCAAGGTATAAAATAATATATTATATACATATCAACTCTTCATTTCAGATTGTGGAAAATTATAATAGTGATGAAATATTATGCATACACCTAAATAAAAGAGTTGCTGACCATAAGAGTTTAATTCATGCTTTTGATTTAAAATTTCAATTATTAAAGTAATGCAACACTGTCTAGAAATGTATTGGTTTAACCTGTTAACGATAAAATGTTCACATGGCCTTTTTTCGTTCATGATCTGTGTTATAACCTGCTCCTTGCTACACAGTTAAAAAATATCATCTCAAGGATGACTACAATGAGTAAACGGAAAGCAATCACCCTTTATTATACCCATTAAAACAGTTAACTCAGCCCCGAAATGTGTTCTGAAACTGGGGAAAATGCCATGTTTCATATACAGGTTTCCTTTTCAGTGGATATTGACTACATCTAAATTATTGTAGTGAAAAACGAATTTTATACTAAACTAGAATCAAAACTGAGTGAATATTCATCAGAATAAGATAGAAAAACATACTGAAATAATTTATAAATAAATATGTGGAAATTCAAGTAAATGTTAAACTCATTATTGATCATATTGTTTTAATAAGTAATCTTACACTTGATCACTTCTTATAGATCTGGTAAATGGATTGATATAAATATCGAGTTTTCTCAGCTCTCACATGGAATCTCACATAGTTTTTTTTCGTATCTAACAGTCTGGTTTAAGTACGAATCCCGTTTTTAGTCTTTCGTATTCCCATGTAATACTGCCACCACATGACACAATACATGGATTATTCAAACCAATAAATCATAGTTGAATTCATGAGTTAGTTGAAGCTAGATAGTCATTGAAAACCTGGAAACAGTTGACGGCCGTTTCGTCTTAGTATGAGACTCTTCAGCAGTGCGCACCCACGATCCCGCCCTGAAAGACTCGAACCCATGACCTTTCAGTCTCGCGCGCGAATGCTTAACCTCTAGATCACTGAGCCGGCTAGCGTCCAACGGTCTTAATGTCTAACTTCAACCGATTCCGAAATTGAGCTACCATCATTTTAGCAACCCACATGCAACGAATTTTTTCTTTTTTTTATTCCGCCTTTTTTTATCCGGATTAAATCATTTTTAATTTATTTGTATTGTTTGTTTGAATCTTCCCATTGGTGTTGAGAACCGCAATTGATCAGCTTCGTTTTTACCATTCTTCTCTTATCGATATTTTCATTTATTTTATTAACAAACGTTTAAACAGAATATATTATAAACAAAATGCTTCATATTTGTCAGTCATTTTGTTCCATTTAATGATTCCAAGAGACAATAACAACAACTAGATTTCAAATGAAAAAGTAGTACAACACCTTCTAGAAATGTATTGATTTAACTATTGATAACAATACAATGTTCACATGGCCTTTTTTCGTTCATGATTTGTATTACAACCTGCTCCCTGCTATGCAGTTAGGAAATATCATCTCAATGATGACTACAATGAGTAAACGGGAAGCAATCACTCTACAACAACTAGATTGTAGGGTATGTGAGAAATGGCAAAAATCAAAAAAATTGAATTTTTATCCATGTCTAGTTTTGATTAGTTTTCTTCTTGTTTATCTTTTAATTATTGTCTGTACATACATGAAAAACACTGTTTAGTTTAATTTTTTCTGTGTTTATTTATTTGTTTTAATCAGTCAGTTTTTTTAGAATTACTGTATAACCAATGATTTGTTTTTTTTTCAATTTAGCTAAAAGAAGCCAGTTTAATTCAACCGGATACAGCAATCTGTCATCTTCAGTATCCATTAGCTTCTGGTGAATCAAGTGAATGTATGATACGATGGCTTGTAATCGGACATCAGTTAGCTGTACAAATGGCTAAGTTTCATGTAAATAGTACTGTATTAATGTAAGTCATTTGTTTGTTCATTTTTTGTAGTATCTTGCTAGATGTAATGAGTCGTTTTGTATTTCTATTCTAGTCGGTATCATTTGTTTACTGTAAATATGTACACATGAATAAGGGGTCTTTTTTCTAACCCCCAATGTAAATACCATGAATTTTAACTTATTTGCTAGTTTGGTAGTCTCCTACTGATATCACGTAAAGTTAATATGTTCTGCTTTTCAGATTTAAACCCTTCATATCACTGGTATAGACTAGATATGAAGATAATCTTCATTAGATGAAGAATATTTTGAAAAACCAAGAATCACTTGACAGATGGTATCATCGAGTGGGCATTGGTGACTTGCTGCAAGGTGAATAAGACGTGTTTGGTCAATCGAGTCGAATATTGATATAGATCTCCATTGATGATGATGAGTGATAGTTTCAATAAATCATTAATTTACTGAATATGTAGAATATAAATAAGTCCTATTTTAGCTGGTTGGTATAAAACACATTATGAAACTTAAAAGTATTTTGATATCGTATGTTCATCACTTTTTGATACTTTGAAATACAATGAAACATCTGTTTAGACTTTCAAGGTTTTTATTCCCATTTCAACCCTACACACCAGATAAAGTTTTAAGTGTACATATCTCAATTTTATAGCGAATAAATGCCAGTAAATTACTGAAAATTATTCAAATAAATAGTGAAAACCGTTTGTTTCACTAAATTTTATGGTATTTCTTTATATAATTTCATTTCTAGATAATAAATTTTACACACATCAACATAATTATTCAGATTATCTTACTTCAGTATATTATATTGGCTTTAATTTCATTTTTAATGCGATAATAAATTACGTTATTTCTAAATGAATGCATTCAAACCTCTCATCATAAGTAGAATCCACAAATGGCTTCCGTCACATCGGTTAAAGCAACACTGAAAACCTGTTGGGATATTCAGGAAAATATCCCAGAAATTATCCTATTAAGCCTAATGCTATTCTTGGACTTGGACATGGTATTATTTTCTTATTGGTCAGTACTTATTCCACGTGTCATTTCCCTACTGGCCAATATTGTACAATGTTATTTTCTATTTTATGGTATGATGTGGTTTGTTTGACTGGTATATAAACAAAGTATGTTTGAGATATAATGATTCATACATCCGAGGCTGTGACTTGCGTTCTGGACTCAACTGCTGGGCTAGATAGGGAAGCGGGGCCAATCAGAACCCTAGGTCGTTCTACGTGTTTGCGCGTCTTTGGTCCGATCGATAAAATCGCTACCCTTTAATCTGCTGCTACTGTCTCACAGTTATAACAAAACCATAAAGCATTTCGCTGTTATTTTTTCACTGTGGTGCACAGGGATCATCAGCTATAAAACACAGACACCAAAAGACCGCGTTGCCTTTAGATTATTGAGTTGCATCCTGATAGTCCAGATTTGTTTAATATTATTGATGTGCAACAGGATCATTGAATTCAAAATCAGAGGTTCAGATGTAGTACATTCTCCGTAACAACTGACAGTTCTGGGACCAACCTCAGGAATAGTCTGCGATACATACTGTTTGGCAACCGCATAGTTGGATAGAACAGATTTTCAGTACCTCATGGCTTTCAATTATATTAAAATAACAAAAATTGTTCTCAAAATATAAATAGGATTCATACATAGAATGATTAGTCACACTTTAAGTTGGTTACATGTATTTTTTTTCACTTTTTCAACTTTTAGAAGTTCTAATAATCCCATACAAGTTGAAGGACAATTAAATAATGAATTACAAGTAAATATTAAAATGATTGTCAATGTTTCAGTGTTTGGGTAAGTTGTGATTAATGTCATTATTTTTACCAATAACAAGATTTTTAGCGTACTCGTGAAAATAACAAATTTATGATCTTTTATTTTCATTATTTCTCTCGTGAATGTTTCATCAGTAGGACTAGGTAGCTTCATCATGAACATAATAAATGTCTACAATGAGATATCTAGAAAAATAAATAAATGAAAATAATTATCTTATTTAATTTTCTAATCAAAATTATATAAATTGATAGTTATGAATAGTTAGTTTTGTCTTATAACTCAGATATTAGAGACTTTAGTTTGAGACAAACACTTCAACTTATTAAAATTCAATCTTTAATCTTATTGTGATTTTAATGAATAGGATTGACTGTAACTTAACTATTCATTATTCACGTTCTACTGTGTTGTTCAAACAAGTTTACAAGTCAACTTCAAAGATGTTTATAGATTTCAATTAACAAATCAAAAAATACTGAATTTTCCTCTTTTTTGATATTAGTTTACTATTATCTACTGTGGAATCACTGAAAACTCAAACAACCATGATTAGTGTTTTTATCATAATTCGTAATGTAGTACATATTTTCGATATCACAAGGGTATCGAATTTGAATTTAGCAAGACATGTAGCCAGTATATATAGAATCAAGAATGCTTGTCACATTAATAAGTCTTAATCCTAGACATAGCACCCGATAATTTATCCTAATTCTTCATGAAGACCATGAATTAATCCGTCATGTAATATTGGCTATAAAAATAAAACATTTTCTGTTTTACAATTGATTGATCGCTGACTAGAAATCACTATCATACTTTTCAAGTCATTTTGTGCTCATTGAATTCTTTTAATAAAGTTGTAATGTGGTTTATGTTGATGAAGCTGAGCGAACATTATACCCTCAGGATTACATATACATCTTACTGACTTATGTCAACTAGAAGAAAACTTATGTCCAAGATTTTCTACTGGACTAATTCCATACCTACTAACTTTTTTCTACGTTCAGTTAGAGATTAAACTGCTTTTACAATCAATTTCGTTTCCAAATAATAATTTCAATCTTAATTTTTATTAAAATAATTTCTACTACTATTATCTTAGTGACATTTTTAATCTTCTGTCAAACTAATATTAACCAATATTAGTTACAACTGAAAACGATTTGAATATATAGTCATTTCATTTTTGAATAATTAAACAAAACAACAACGAATAGACACTTGTTTATTTAAACCTAAGTAATATATAGGTGTAGATATGATTAAGCTCTTTTTTTTCTAACTTTATATTTTGATTCTCTGTCGTAAATCATTGTCTCTAATTAGATCTTCATTAATCTCTACAAAACTCTTTAATTAGATTGTAACAAATTTTTCAGTTACTTTTTTTTTGTAGACATTCAATATTATTTATGAATCAGAATTGTATGTAGCAGAAAAAGTTGTCAAATGTAACATTTGACTGGATTGTTTATTTCTATTTTTTTGTTTTTTGAATTTATTAGAAAAGAGAAAAAATATGATTTACTACTTGTGTAGTAGTATTAGTAGTAGTTTATTCAAAATTATTGTATAAAAGAAGATAATTGAATAAATTATTGATCATCAGGTCTCAAAAACCAAATCAATATTACATAAATATTGAGTAACTAGTCTTGCATATTTGAAAATGAAATCACCAACTAAGTAGTTAGTTTAGTTTTGTAAACCGAATACCAAATAATATGAAATAACTGGCTGAAAACTATTTAAAACAACAGTGACTGGATATATATATATATATATATATATATATATATATATATATATATATATATATATATTAATAGAACCAATGAACCCTGACTTGTATAAAAAATAACTAACGTGCACAATTATTTTTATAAATATCACCTGTTTTCAACTATTAGGTCTTAGGTTCGAATCCTCCCCCCACTTAGTTTGATTATGACAGTCAAGTGATATCAATAATCATTACATTAATAATGAGGCTTAGAGTTATTTACATAAATCTATGCTTGGTAAATGTTATTAACATCTACCGATTTTATGTTCGATAAATTTCTTATCAGTGTGTTGCTAACTACAAATGTCATCCAATAATACATTTTCTCAGTTTACTTTGAAGTATCTGTATGTGTAAGATAATATATGAGAGTAGGTTTTGGAGAATTTCTATTTGGAATAAAGGTCGATTCGTAAAGGATTAATTGTCCGTGACCTATGTTGTGCAATCAACAAATATTTAAAATATTTCTTCACTTACTATTTAAGTTAGTCATGTCCAACAAAAAGAAATTCACTAATCTCACTAGTAAACCTTGGGTACAATCCATTTTGCGTGAGAAAATCTAATTGCTAATAAATAATTCATTCTACTTAACGTGGTCATTCACTTCAATTCATACACTTAGAAACCATGTACACGTGATCGTTCCTATTATGATGTTATCAAGACAACTACAGTAAATGACTATGGAGTGTTAGTGCGATTTTAAAAGAATCATTTAATGATCCTCTACCCAAGTGTAAATTATATTAAAAGATAGGATTTTGATCAGAAATGAGTCTTTTTTACGAATTTTTAGCATACTCATCTTGACAGCTATTTGATCTGAACCTGGGATCTCATTTACCAATGTATTCTAGTGACTGACACTACGTTCGAGTAGTATTACTAGTATTGTGGAAATAATCATCAGAGGGTTCAACTTAGTCCTCAAAATTTCAATAAATTTATTTTTAAAAGATGGAAAGTTATGTGCAATTAAATAAGTGTTTCATTTATCTCATTTCCAAAATATTATGATACGTACTTTCTGGCTTATACATCTGGTCACTATCCAAATATAGTCGACATGTCAATGCAAGCAACATTATTATATTTTTGTTCAAGAGGTTAATATATTAACAAAACTGATCGTTTCTATCTAGATTATCTCGTAATGGGAAAGCTCAAACTATCACAATAAATAAATATCAATATCTCCAGGCATTATTTTAACATTCTATCTAGTGGCTTCAAGTAATATATTTCTAAGGTTATTTTTATTTAATTCCTTCTGTAATATTTTCACAAAAATGATAAATGTTTATACAATAGTAAAACTTTATTCTTTCTGGAATATAAAATACAATTATCATGATAAAAGTTGGATTAATTTTGATTTGGTTATTTACTCTCTAAAGAAGTGGCATACATTAAGTCACGAAACGTCAGAAAATCTCATTTTTCTACTCATTGGGATATTACAAATATATTAATTTATTTATAACAATCGACCCGATACTCAGTTTATTTAAAATTATCAAGTCAAACCTTGGTAACAATACCTACACAATTATCATGTTTTCTTTCCATTGTTATTTGTTAGTCTCCATCTTTAACATATGACACATAGGATTTTGTATTAAAGTTGATGAAAATTAACACAATTGTACTTATTGTCTGTAAATGCAAACAATTATGAAGACTTAATAAATAAGTATGAATTTCTATAATACTTTCCCAAGTAAACTTCTAACTGATTATAGATAATACACGAAGTTGCGCCACCGTACACCATTGCCTTCAGTGAGTTGATATCTCACAACGGACCTGGTTGAACTCCACTGGTAACGGCTTCTCACTAGAACTTCAGGAGTATTTCTTGAAGTCAGTCACTAGTGAGCAGATGATTATTATCAGAAGGGGTTTTGTGGAGATTTTAGAAACTTAAATGGTTGAAATCATGGGTCAATTGAAGCTAGGCCACCATGAAAAACCTGGAAGCACTGGATGGCCGTTTCGTCCTAGTATGAGACTCTTCAGAAGTGCGCATCCACGATACCTAGCTTCAACTGACTCATGATTTCAACCAGTGAAATTTCTAACATCACAAAACCCCTTCTGATGTTTATAGATAAGCAAAATAAAATGGTTTTCATCATGGATAAATATCGGATATTAAAAAGTCTTAAACCAGTGCTCTTTGCTTTCTAATAGTTCTCAGACAGATGTACGTTCGTAATGAAATCTTTCAAACTGATCGAATCTACATAAATAATCTATTTAAATATGATTTTATCCAAAATTCAAATTTATGTAATTAACTGTAATCTTTCATATACGGCTTAACATGTAATGTTCCAATCTGTTTACTTAGGTAAAAGTTAAATAAGCTTAAATCAACTGATAGTGATATTATTAGGGCACTTAAATATAGTTTTGTTGTCTATATATTTGCATAAAAGTACAGCATGGTTATTAACCTCACAAGTTTTAATGCAACATAGAAAAAACTAAATTTTTTGTGTTGGTTTCATTGCAGAACAACTGAACCGAATACAATTTACTTTAGTGGAAATGTTAGTGACGGGATTAGTTCAATGACAGCAGAAAATCAAATTGGTGATGTTAGAATTGTTGGTAAATTTACTGTAAGTAATAACTTTTTTACTTTAAATCTACCTTCATATAGCACGCATTAACATTCACCTTGGAAATATTTAATTACAATCTCTGTTATTACTATTATTTGTGTAGAAGTCTTTGAAATCTATACCACATCTCCCATCTACCTCATTTGATAGTGATCTACAGCCTTATTAAACACTTTATCATTTCTGTCCATATTCTCGAACCTTCAAATTCACAATCTTCGATTGTTTTTATAAAATATATTGTTCTTTTATGAGAAGAAAATTAATCCTTACCTTATTGATTGACTGACAAAATAAAAGTGTAATAGACAATATACACTGAAACACTAAAACTATCCCACTTTTTTTGAATCACAAACATACTGAAAAGTAATTTTGTTTGAATATAGTTTAATTTATGCGTCTGTTGTTAATTATTAAAAAATCTGTGTACTTTAATTAAAACTTAAGTTATTAGAACTAACATAACTAATTCACTGAGTGTTGTTTTAATTGTATCTTCCCATTATTATTTAGGACTGCAATTGATCAGTTTCATGTAACATAACTCATCTTAAGAGTGTAATCAGAATAAGCAAAATAAGTAACTATAAGCATTGCAAACGTTTTTAGCTCACTCTTGAGTAACAAACAGTACAATGAACTGTAGATAGAATGACATCATTGGCTTACTAGGTCTTGGTTTATCTAGACTTTTTCTTTTGACATTAAATCCTGAATGAAATGCAGAAAAAACAATCTAGACAGCAAATTGTCTACCATATTTAATCTCCATCGATTGTAGTTTGAAATTATATTTATAGAATATAAATGAAAATTTTTAGTCGATAAGGCTTTTAGATGTTTTCATAAAATAAAACAGATTGGTTCAGTGAAAAGTTCTCTTTTTTGGGTAAATTTATTTTCAAAGCTATACAACAGCAAATATATACTTAGCTTCCAAAATGATAACAAAATTTTACTAAACATGGCAATTGTCTACAAAAGAAACGTGTATAACATCTTCTACCATGATCTCAATCTCTCGTATTGTTTTCTTTTCATTTCCTACTTCACAGCCACCTGTTTCTCTTCTCTCTTCTTCTCTGAAGAACTTTAACCCTCAATTGACTTGTTCCTGTTTCTATGATCCTCATCTCAATTTCAAAATGTTTTCTTACCGCACTGAGTCTTCCTTTTGCAATTATAGTTTCTTTATTCATCTTCATGATGAATTCTCAAGCTCTCAGCAAAGAAATGAAAGTGAACATCAACTCTAAGGTGAAGGTTCATCCAGTTGACGAGTCCCAAATGTGACAAAACGCGCGTCCTGGATTCCACTGCTAACCACTATCGATTTTTGCTTATAATTGTCATACTGTTTTAAAAACGTGGTATAGTTCATCAGCTTCAGGAAGCATAAATATCCACATATCTAACTGAGCTACTATCCCCCTATGTATGTAAGTGTAATACATCGTCGATCCAAATGAATAATTTATTGCTACAATGAACTCTTCAATAGGACTTATGACATATAATGAGATATGAATTCAGCATTATTATTATAAATATTTACAAATTAAATCACAAAATATTCTTTACTCTGAACCTCAAGCGTTCATAATTCCAATCAACAACTTTCATTGTAAAACTATCCAATATCTTATCATTATGTTATTAAAATTTAGATCTACATACTATTCATCTCAGATATGGGAAATTAACATAATATTATGACTAAAATAGTTTGTTATTGTTTTTGTTCTTGTTTTGTCACCTAGACTTCTCCCTATAATGACTAGGGTTCTTAGTCAAGAAGAAAGAAATAACAAGAGTTATTAGCAAACTAAAAGTCAAATAACAGTCTAATTTGACTACAGACTGTGTATTCATTTCATCCGAAAAGCGTTCATACTATAAATTATTGATAGCTCTGGAATACGTCACTAGTTAATGCAAATGACAGTGAACAAGTTTTCCATCAAAAGTCTCAATTTTCAGACCACTGATTTAAAAAAAATAGTTATTTTTAGATTAATTTAAGAACTGCTCTCATACAGAAGTGTTATTTACTGGCGAATCAGAGAAATAGTATTAAGTAGCTGTTTTAGACTGTCTTTCTAAAGCTATTTTTATATGTAAGTATTGTGCTGTCTCTTACTGTTCTTGTTATGTGTTGCGAAAAAGGTACGAAATTTACGTAAACATAGTTTAATACCAGCATCACGTCTGATCATCGACTGGCCTTTTGAATTCGCTGGGCTCATCAATGAACCACATGGAAAATATCTTCTCTACTTGCTTGAAAATCCTTATGTAATTCAACATGCGCTTACAATTCCTGGTCAAACAGTGGACAATGAAACTAGTGTTGTTTGTGATTCTAAAGCATTACAGAAAGTTGTTAATCCACATAATTTCCGAGTGAGTTCTTTTCAGTGATTCCTATCGATTTTATGTTAATATAAATGACTGTTGTTTTGTGTTCTGAGGTATATCAGATTTTGCTACGGATATACAAGCTACTTATACACAATCCTATCCGGGTACTTGCATGAAAAAACCAAGAAGTAGGAACCATTAATTCAAAGCCTTAAATCGAAGATCTATGCACAACTCATTTTTAAATACATATCCATTTCCCTCGGAAAATTAACGCAGAGATTCAGCCAACAATATGTATCTGCTTCCTCGGAAAGTTGACTCAAATCTTGGCCAATAAAGTGCACATGTTAGCATTTCTCACTTACCATGTGGTCTTAAACCAATATGTCTGATTCGCTCATCGTATCACGTTGCTTTCAATTAGTCTCCGTACTGTTTTTTATCATACAGCATTTTAAGATATCAATAATGTTTTCTTCAAAGTAAAGCAATGAAATCGAAAATAAAAAAACATGCTTCTGAAGCAAGAAAAAGCGGATATTTTTGAGTGAATATAAATAACTCACATTTATGAATGAATGATAGCTTAATCATTTAACTTTTTACCTTGATTCAAATGATAAACAAGTGAGATAAATTATAATTCGAAATTACATTAGATATGGAATAGTAAATGATAAATTGCATGTTAGAAAACTAAAAAGCGGAAGATAACTTCTTTATAAAAGCACCAGACGTTACTGAAAAAGTAACTGGCTAACTAACCTCTTCATTTAAAACACATCATTCAGATGAAGTGATTTTGATGCCACTAATTGGTAAAAAAACAAGCTATATTAGAATTGAAACATCCTGTATTTTGTACTGTTATAAGTTATTAGTCATAAATTTATTCTGAAGATATGACTCAGTAATCCATGCTCCTTGTCTTCCACGAAGTTTTGAGAACAGATTCATATGACCGATTACTGACTGACGGATCCCAGTTTTACGTTCACTTTTGTCTATGAGTTCAAAAACTATTCTTAGTCCTCAAGCAATAGGTAAAGCTCATAACTTCATGCATAAGCCAATAAGATGTTGTTAATCAGGAATTTGTTGCATTATCGTAATCATTATTGACGCAACTATTGTTTGAAGTTATGTTTAATGTATCATTCTACATAACTACCTACTTTTAATGGTACTACTGTGAGATTCCTAAGTTACATTAAACGCGATCAAAATGCAGTGACACCATTATCCCAACATACTTTATTCGTTAAAGTCGATAAGCAAACAACGTCTTATATCATTAGTTTACTGCATTACTAATAATAATCTGTCAAAAAAGACCCAAACCAACATCTAGAAACTCTATTTTATTCAGGGTATATCTTATTCTATTCATTTGCGGAAAAAGCATTTTCCTTATCTTCATTTTTTTTCAGTGAAAATCATCTCTGTAAGTCCTCAGTAATCAGATTTTTCATATACCTCGTCGTTTGACAGTCTATCACTCCACTACCTACCTAACTGACCATTTTGGATTTTATGAACAAAGTAGAATCAGTAGAGGTTAAGTCAAGTAAGTGATAAAAATAATCTAGCGTGATGATGATATCATGCTCCAGGAATTTACGAATATTTACTGCTGGACACTTAAAGGCTTTGTCATGGTTCAATAGCCACTTATTAGGATCGTATAAATTTAGTCACATATGATCCCTCAGGAGTTTAATATCCTTCACACAACAATTGTTCACCGTCTGTTCTTCAGAAAGTGATTCATAGAGGCTAACATCATAAATATCGCATTTATTGGACATATGAGTTGTATGAGATGATCTATCCTAATGTTATAATTGTTTTCTTTCGAAGATATTTTCTAGACTAAGAAAATCGAATGATGGTGTACCAGTACGAACTGCGTCAATTAATATCCCTTCAGACAACCCTTCTCCGTATCCCCCATTATCAGACAAAATGATCTTGGAACCAGTTCCTGATCGTTTAGCAGATTCAAAGAAATTAGTTGATCGAAAAATGACTACAATTGTAAGTATTGATCTGTGTAAACATAGTTGTAGATTGTATATTGTTCTTAATAATTACATTATTCGTTCACAGAATGGTGGCTAATGTTGTATTTTTGAATTGTTAGTTCTAAACTCTTAGTTCCATTACAATCCTCCAGATTAAGTGGCTGAACATCAAAAAGCATCAAAACATCTTAATTCTACAGGAAGTCAGTCGCATCTGGCTAAGTAGGTTTTCCTGCTGAATGATTACAACTACTGAGTATTTTAAGAAATAAGTTTTATTTCCACTTTTAAAGTCTGTTGATCCAATGAATACTGATCATAATTCACTTACATCAAATAATTTTTTATTTGTAATCTCTACCTAGTCCTTCGCCTTAGCAACAGTACGTTCATTCACTTTCTTTAGACAAATCATCTACTTGTTAATAACTTATTTTTTCAGCCAGTGATTGGATCATTTTCTGCATTTTATTATTATTTTCTTAGACTTTAGTTTCTTTTAAACATCTTATATTTTTAGAGTTGTTATAATGGACGTATACGATGTGTACCAATTATTTGTGATTTAGGCAAGTTATCCTATAAAGCTGGACCGATTACACTTGAATTTATCGCTAGACTCTGGGAAAATACAATGCGAGAAGTTAGTTTTGAATATTCTCACTATTTTTTTTTATCATTTTCTAAAATTATTGTTTGATTTCGATGAGTTTTTGTCGTCAAAATTGTTTAATCACTACAGCATAACTTATTATTTTATTTAATAATGATCAATGATGTATACTATAAACGTTTGTAATGGTGAATCAAGGTTGACATTCATCAACAAACAATTCAAAAGTCAATCTATGCTCTACAAAGTTAAATAATTGTTAACTGGACTAATCATATTAATTTGTTGTATCTAGTGTTACATTTGTTTAAACAATAGCTACTTTTGTAATTTGAGAGCTGATAAGTTTATAAACTTTGATTAATTATCTCTTTTTATAGATAAAATTGGCCTACTTAACAAACTTTCCTGTTTACTACGTATGATTTCTAATGATTTATTCTAATAGGAATTAATAAAACTACCGATTTATGAATTCTGATATAAAAATCCATTAAAAAAATTACATCAGATTTCAGTGAAATGTACTCTTAACAATTTTACTCAGAAACCCTCACCTCTTGATGACAGTGAATGAGAACTGCCTGACAAGGGCTATAGACCTGCAGTTTTATGAAAGCATCATGAACCCTACCCATTTTCATAATAACGGGATATTGTTTTGGAATGACGTTTCCTAATCTAATTGTACATAAAAACAATCTTGTTGATTTTATTTTAAGTGCCCTGATACGGTCGAGCGTGAAGAGAATCAGCTCTCCTGCTCGAAGTGCTGTCATACAGTCACGCGTACACGGTCACTACCAGAGAAGTCCTACTTAATGTCTTCTCATAGCAGGGGTGTTTTTATGTGAAATTGAGAGGATGAAAAGAGAGTTGGCCGGTTAGTGGAGATGGAATATCCAACTGTGAAAGTTAGAAAACCCTGATTCCGAACCAATGCTATACATAGGTTTCAGGATCATAAGGAAAAAATGTCGTATGAACCTATTGTTGGTCAACAGCTGCCATGAAACTGCATCTCCTAACGTTTCTAAACTGCCTTGTGGATTAGACCCTAAGAAAACCACCTACCTTGGTTTGCACACCCGATCAGTATTCCAGCCCTCACACAAACTAAATAACGAAGTGTGGCGCATATATATTCGGTGCCTCCTTGTACCAATGTTCATGTGTTTGAACAAATTTACTTAACATCAATTTCGGGTTCATTCTTCTTTTTTGTGTTTACCACTTTAATTTGTTTAGTAAAAACTTATAAATGTAATGTCCCCTTGTCGTTTCTGAAGCTTATTATTTTCTTACTGTTATCATCTTGCAAGTGGGCATTGATGAGACATCAACCACCCAAATTTTACAACAACTTGGGTGGTAGAATCACTTAACTAATAAGAAATATTGGACACAGTTTGATTTTTTTTACAATTTAGTTCGTGATAAATTAGTTTTTTGATGATAAAATCTTTCTGTAATATTCTAAATTTTAAAGAATATAATTGTAAATTTGGAGTCGTTGTAAGGTCCTATAAGTGACTCGGAAGCATTACAGAGTTAGTAATGTGGGAGTCACTTGTTTCAATTGTCACGACCAACACTTTGTTTTCACTCTTTTTTCATAATATAATGCTTTAAACAACAATAACACAGATAAACTAATAACAAGACCCATCAGAACAATCAAACTATACAGAAATTTATGTTAAATCAAAATCCTTTTAACAAATAGATAAATTTTGTAGATAAACTGGTATGTTGAGAAATGACCATTTGGATACTTTTGTTTGAATATTGTTGTAACGTATGCTTCTTCTAATCAGTCTTAATCCTTATATATATATATATATATCTTGGTATATGGAGATTTACACTCTGAACATTTTTCCACACAACACCTTTTTTCGATTTTGTGCGTGAACGCACAAATATTAATCATCTTCGTAGATATCTGGGACACAGGAGTTGTTCAATACCTTCAGGTTTCCAGTGATGCACTAATGTTAACTCTTCTTCGGCATAGTATTGTCGGATACTTCACTTCACTCGACTGATCGAATCAATACAACTTGAACAGAACTTAAATATATTCCAAACCGCTAAGTCTGATACTGGAATGCTTAATCCTGACTTTCTAGACGTTTCGTACAGTCTCAGACTACTTCTACACTTCAACTCAGAAAATAGTGAAAAGGTTCGAAATCTTAGTAGAAGCTTTATTCCAAAGTTAGTTTTGTACAGAAAATCGAGAGTATTTATGGAGTTCTGTGTGACCTTGCTCTTCTAAAGCTTTTTGGGAACATAAGAAAAATAGTGACGGCATAGGTATTTACCTAATCAAAAATGTGGCACCTGACTCGTCAATTTCTGAATATTTTTGAGACGCTTCTATTCATTACTGATCAGATAAACATTTTCTAGATTCTTCTGGGGATTCTAGGGACTTTGATAATCAGCATTTTTTAACTCTCCGACGAGAGTAAAACAGCAGATTTAGGTAAATTAATATCGTAAGAAAATGTCAATGTACAGACAAACCCGGCACATGAATATTCTAGAGTTTTCTCAGTTCATCCACTAGCAATAACTAGTTGAAAATGAACCGTTTAGCTTGCTCCAGTGTGATCTTTTCTGAAGCATGCTTTGATCAGGTTTCTGTCCCGCCAACATCCAACTAATATCAAAAAAAGCAAGATCAAACTTACTTTGAAACATTTTACGTCATGAACTGGCCTTAATTAAACAACCAACTGAAACTTAGGAGTACTGAACAATCGCTTTGAACTAGATATGTAGAAAAATGATTTAGATATTTAACCAGAAATTAAGAAAATAAAGGTAACAGATAACAACGAAACCTGTAGAGTATACATTTTTGTGCCTAGTGGTATACAAATAAGTATAGATCAGTTAGCAGTAAGTAAACTAATATAATTCGTTCATAAGTAAAATTGATTTCACAGTATAACGAATTGACTGAAGTTAGATATATCAACTATGAATTTCCAACGCGTTCGTCTAAAGGTTAAGTTCTGGCTGTGAAACCTGAAGACTATGGAAGTGACCCACAGTTGTGTCGTGGATGTGCAATACAGAGAAATCACATTTTAGGACGAAACAGTTGTTCAGCTCTGTTCGATCTTTTGTGGTTGTCTAAGGTCACTTCGTTATATTAACTACGAAATTCAACAGTTACTATGAGCCCCTATACTGATGACTTAAAATAATTCATATTACTAAAGAACTTTAATTTGGCAGCTAATCGAAACCGGAAAAGTACTAAATAGCTGTTTCGTGCTATTGTCACGGGACTTCTCAACAGTGAGCATCCATGACCCAACTAGAGAAGAAACCACTGACGTTCAGGGCCTTCGGTGAGTTAACTGGCTAGTGCTATCTGGTTTCCAATAGTTATTTAACTTGAAAAACGGTCGGTAATATAAGCCAAAAATCGAAACTATCTTTACAAATCTCTTATACTAATAATTTCAATAATATTCACCTTATTTCTCAACTTGTCTTTTATTTATTCATTTATTGACTATTAGGACTTTTTAAAAGTATTTTTAACTAAACTACATCTGACTGCAACATGGAAAGCTGATGTTAAATATGGCATTGACCTTGGCGGTTCAGATTATGCACAAGATACAGTAAGTCAATGGAATTATACACAGATTTTATCCGTGTTTCCACTTGATTTTATTTTTGAATCAATTATGCATTATTTTAGCTTTAAGCAGTTTAATAATAATTGTGATGATGAATTTTGTCCTAAATAAATAACAATTGTTATCATCCTTAAACCTATTATAACTGACTAATATATTTAAATTATAACTAAATAAACAATGAAATACTGCGATATATGCTACTCGTGTCTGTCGACATAAGTAGTATGTAACACCGATTAGAAGTGTTATGCCTGTCAAAAGAAGGTTGAGAAGAGTGAACTAGAGAAAACAGAGGAAGAAATGAAAAGGAATTAAGAATGGAAAGAATCATCAAGGATGTAAAGGACAATAGATGAAAGATTTGTAAATAAAGTATTTGACATCTGGTTGTCATATTTTACCAAAGAACTGTAATTTTTGACCAAGAAATCTATCCATCTATTATTGAGTTGTCATTACATTAAAATATCAGTCAAATAACGAGTATGATAGTATATTGATGCTGTTACACTCACAATACGCAAATAGTTGGAATTTAATTTATCTATATAAATTGAAACCGACGAAGAAATTTTAATGATAGATTTCATAAAGATTCTACCTAAACCAACTGTTATGTATACTTTATTGTTTAAATTCGATAGATTTCAAAATTAATGTAACAATAGCTTGTAGTAATCAGCAGTTAAACATATGAGATTTCAGATTAATTTCGATAAAATGATGCTTCAATGATTGCAACAAATACTAGATGTATTGTATTTTATACGTCAAAAAGAAAATTCAACATAAGTGTTAGAATTATTAATCTTCACATCGGACAGTTTTATAAGTGAAATTCTTCTTAGTATTTATTTTGAGTATCACAAGAAATTATTCTGTTAGAAACAATATTCCCAAGGTATTCAAATTAAAACCCTACTTTATTTTACTGTTTGTCTGATAAACTCGAAAGTGTACTCGAAATTTGGACAATGTAGTCATAATAATTATACTCACTTCATTCAATACAAGATGTTTGATTACAGTAAATGATTATTATCATGAAATATATCATATTACAAAAAGTTTCGGAACAGTGATAAACTACTATTCATATTCACCCGTAACTTTTTTTACAATCTACATTGCTATCATGACATCTCTTTTCATCTGTGGAATATATTTGATGTCTGAATTCTATAGTATTTGCCTTTTGTGTTTCTCCGAATTACAAAATAGGAGCGAAATATGTAAACTATCACGATAGATCTTCTTAAGTTTCTCAAAAATTAGATTCGCAAGAGGTTGTAAACATTCTATGAAAGTGTGTAAATATATGTCATTGGTAAAAACGATTAGTTAAGTAAAACGAAAATAGGAACATATATGGCAGTAACTGCCTGTTTATTAAAATAGTTGACCCATGAAATTGATCAGACTACTACATTAGATTACCATTAATTTGTATTTCACTTTTACATATTGAACTTCTGATGATAATGTGTTAGTGAAAACTTACCTGACTGTTTGACAAGCGGCCAATATCAATGGAAAGTTTTAATACAAAATAAACCATGAATAATACAAAGATTTATAAACCGACTGATTTATTTTTTATTTATTTAAACACAAAAATATTGGTAAAAAAGGGAACCAAAATAAATATGGGCCACAAAATAAGAGAGGGTGAGTGTAAAGAAATAGGGGAGGGAAGGCGAGAATAGTAAAAAACTAAATAAATGAAAAGAAACAAGTGAACAAAGGTAGTATACCATTGGTAAGGCAGTCTAATCAAGAAATACATTACCGGAAAGAATTTTTTCAATTAGAGTTCCTTTCATTTTTGTAAAGAAAGTAAAAGAAAATTACAGGAAGACCTCTACTGGCTCTTATTCTATCGATATCGGATCATGTCTCAGGTCACTGTGTCGGGCTATTTGTAGAACCTCAACTACAGAGTCATGAAGGACCAACCGATACCAGTCCTGTACAACTTTCCTTCATACCACGGTACCGTGTCATACATTGCTCATCTCTCCGTTTTTCTCAAGCATTCTCAGCGTCGTAAAACAATGCATGATGTAGAATTCACGGGACTGACAAAATGACTCGTTTTTCTAATTGAGATTATTTATCGGAAAGCTTTATGGAAACGTAACATTGGAGATATAAAATTATTATCATTGTTTTATCTAAATGACGCCATAGTAGCTAGAAATGCATCCATGTTTGAAAACTAGGAAGCAACATGAATACATGTAAATAAATTATGATAAATACAAATATATTGGAAAAATAGTGTATAACTTGCAATGACTTTTAAACAGCATTGTAAGGCAGTGGTGACATTTTTAAAATGAATTTCAAAAAACTTACTTATTTGATCTTACTACACATGTTTATAATAATATTAATTTATTCAAACATTATCGGTACCTCAATTGTTCTCTTCAATTGCCTATATATATTTGAATAATGATTATTATCTTTAATTCTGAGCTACAAGTCATAATTATAGTAAAAATTTCCATTACGCCATTTGGTAATTAAAGAAGGAACGAATTGAGCGAAGAAATTTCTTTTCAATTAGTTTTTCATCATGGCTCTACACTAGTATATATATGATTTACAATAATGATATAATACTCATCGAATAGATACGTTACGTAATAGTTACATAATGACATTTAAATTAACATTGAGTAGTTGGAAGAAAGAGGATTATTAATAATCAAAGTAATTATTAAATCAAGAAGTTGCTACGTTGCGTAATATATGAAAAGAGAAGGAACAGAATTTGATAATGGATGCTCAATAGAATAGTAGTTACGTAAGAATCAAAAGATGAATGTTGAGAAGTTATAAAGTTCAAAAGCAACAGAAACAAAATTACAAAAGTTAAAATTAAAAAAAAACAAGTGGAAGGAGTATGAAAAATAGTTGTATTGAAGGAAATCTTATACTGATGGCCAGGGCATAGAAAGTGGTTGTACCAGTGTACTAGTGTAGAGCCATGATGAAAAACTAATTGAAAAGAAATTTCTTCGCTCAATTCGTTCCTTCTTTAAATACCAAATCATAATTACTTTAATTTGTAATCAACTAATCTAAACTATTTTCAACTATTTCAAGTTAATATAAACTGATTTTAAATGACTATTAATGAAGTCCATTAGTGTTGTTGTACTTCATAGAATAGATTGTACAAATGTTAAATTATATTCAGCTAAATATTTTTTTTCTAGAAATCGACTAATATGAGGATATTTTTCATCACGATATAACATTATTTGCACAATCCGTATAGACCGGGAAGCACTGAATAAATATTCGTTTTCTAATTTAAAAATGAACTCGGCGCCCAAATATTGTGAAACTATTCGTTTAAATTTAGACGAAAGTTCTTATTTATTAAAAATGAAATGTTACAAAATTATACACTCCATCAGTGATCAAACTTTCAGACTAGGCTATCAAGTTTATTAACAAATTAGTCATTATTTCGATCATTTGTGTTTGGCAAATGAACAGATCCTTATTATCAATAGCTGGGTTCTAATTGGGTAGCTGAATGATAATGTTTACCATAAAACTTAATGGTCCTTGATTTGACCTTATATCAATTGAAGAGTTTTGAACTAGAACAAATTAAATATTCAGTTCACCTACATACCTAAGATTTAAAAATGTTAACCTATCCAATGGTTAAATAAAATCATATTCTTGATAAAACTTGAACTAACCAAATACTTATATAAAATAAGAAAATCGATAGCTCAAAAGATTTTTAAAGTTCCTTTTGTTCCCAATGCTGTAAAGATGTAAAAAAACAACACCGATGAAATTTTAAGGTGAGTAATATATTCTGTCTTCTAAAGTAATCACAACTTTTTAAAATAGGATTTCACCATATAACTGATACAAATTTATTTCATCATCAAATTAATATGTATTTGCGTTTTAACAAAATTATATTCTAATCTAAATAATAAATGGAGTACCATCATTTAAAGTTATTATAAGATTAAAAAAGCCTTCTTACATAGAATGAATAAAATATTCACTAGAATATCACACTGAAGATAAAATGGTATTCATGTACAGATCTGCAGTAATTAACAAACAGTTCATATTTAATGATTAATATCAGACCTTGAATCTCTTGTAGACTATTTCTCTTAGAATGTGGCAAAATATTGAATAATAATAATAATAATAGTAATAGTGCCCCCAAATGCCCTGGTACGGCCAAGAGTGGGGAGAGTCCGCTCTCCCTCTAGAAATGCTCTCACATGGCCACACGTATATAGCCTCTGCCAGGGAAGTCCTACTCACTGCCTTCTCGTGGCGGGGGTGTTGTTTACGAAAACGAAAGGACGAAAAGCGAATGTCTGGCGCTTTAACCGGATTCCAAACCAATGGTGCACATGGGCTCCAGTATCCTGCGGGAACAAATGGCGTATGAACCAATCGTTGGTCACCGGCTTCCATGGGACTGCATCTCCTTACGATGCTCCACTGCTTTGTGGATCAGACTCTCAGGTCGAAGGCTCGGGGTGTGGCCCCCTAAGAAAACCACCTGCTTCGGTTTGGGCACCCGGGCAGTATCACAGCCCTCACACATATCAAATGAGATTTGTGTGGCGCATATGTATTTGGTGCCTCCTTGTACCAATATCTATGTGTTGAAATAAATAAATAGTAATAGTAATAATAATAATAATAATAATAATAATAATAATAATAATAATAATAATAATAATAATAGAGAATTCATTATTAGGTTTACGGATTATATTTCTGTCCTCGAAATTTGTACAATCATAGTAATAATAATATTCTTCTTCATTTCTGTTTTTATCTTTTCTTTTGTTGAAACAAAATAAAAAAATTATACTGATTTTGTCATTTCGCTAATTAATATGAATATTCTTATCATTTTTAAATTGAATAATACCGCTTACTAATTTTTTTTATGAATATGATTTGTCTATAAAATTATGTATATATATCTAAAAATTGAATATACGAATTTATCTATATCTGTTGTTTATCGACTATTTGTTTATATACATTTATCTGTGTTTCGCGTCATTATCGTCATATATAACTGCATGTCGAAAAATATGGATATTTTTATTTGTTCACCGATTGTCAATTTCATTAATATTTAACCATACATTTTAGTGTTTTAAAAAATCTAGTTACTATAAGCTGACAAATTGTATATCCGGTATTATAAACTATGAAATGGTTAGTATTAGTCAATTATATAGGTAGATGTTAGTATGTCTTATTTTTAATTATGTAGACAATGAATATCCGATCCGTTTACTTCTACAACTTTAAAAATGTAGATCGTGGATATTTAGTTTGATCAAATTCACGATTTCCAAGTTTAGCTGCAAATTGATTGTTCATTTAGTATTCAGGGTTTAAACACTCTTCAACTTCAGTTAATCCATAAATATAACTTTACGAACCTTCGGTAGAGACATGGTTATTCATCCTTACTTACAAATCCATTGTTCCTACAGATCATACACGTAAGTTAAAAATATTCGGGACTTACAAAAGTATGTATTGGTGTGATGATACATTTTTCAACAACTATGATTATCAACGAGATTCTATCATATAATTAATGAGCGCAGGAAATTAAAGCGAGAATAATTGATTTTCTAGTCTTTTACTAATATCGAAATAGGGGAAAGTATCACTGATGACACACAACGATTGACAGAAGTCTGGAATTTAGACCATCAGAAACTGACTCAATAGTTAAAATGTAACGCTGTAGGTATCAAGTTTGATCTTTAGTGCGATCATAAATATGCACTGTTGAAGAGTCACAAGCTAGTACAAAACATTTGTCATATCTTGTATGGTTTTCAATAATAGTTCACTCACCAGCTGAGGTCGACAGATATGGCGAAATCTATCTAAAACTTGAGATAAACTTTACAACTAACTTAACTCTCAGTATAGATTTTAATTAATTTAAATTTTTCATACCATCACTAATTTCACTGATAATGTAGAATTTTAGATTAAAGAATCACTGTATTTGAACACTGATACCATAGAATAAAAGCATCTTCACTCGTATTCAACTTATGTTGACTATTTAAAATCCTGATTAAAAATTTTACAGTTGATTAATTTACTTTCTAAAAAATGTAATGAATAAAGATGTGTAATCATGTATTTGTCTAACATTTTGCACGCTATATTTTTCTGCATGTGGACACATTCGTGTGTTAAAATTCAGTACGTGTGAAACACAACTTGTATATTGTTATTCATTTGATTTTACTGGTACTTTTCTTACCAAGATTGTTAGATTGATTTACTCAGATAGCTTGTACAAAATGCATCATTGTCAACCACATGTAATAGTTACAGATTTTCACTATAAATCTTGTACAACAATGGTGATTGCTATCAGCTTGAATGAACTCTTAAAAGATAACCATTTCTTTGATTAAACTTGTCAACAACAGTTACTGCCCTCTGAGTTAACCACGACCTGTCTATCCAAAATTGTAGACAGCTAAGTTCATTATTTTAATAACCACTTTTGATCTGTAAGTTAATCATAATATGGATTATGCATATATTTTAAAATCTTACGACTAAGTTTAATCCATCCTCATCAAAACAATTTCTGATTTAATTCATTTTTATATTGGTTGTTTGGATCTTCCCACTGATGTCTAGAACTGCAATTGATCAGTCTGTTATCGGCATATGTCCACCCAGTGCGGGTTGTCTAAATATTGTTTTAAGTCACAGGCATTATTAGCAAAGATGGATGGTAGCCAGCAGTAGAATCCAAGATGCGCGTTTCGTCCTATTTGAGACTCTTCAGTTGGACGCGCCCGAGCGCGTCCTGGATTCCACCGCTAACCACCAACTATATCTGCTTATAATTTCTCAGTTAATAATTTCGCTTTTATTGTAATTCGGTGTGAAAATTTTTTCAGATTAAATATACAAAATCATTGAAAATGTGAAACACATTCTTACATTAAAGTAAGAGTATTGATATCATACATTATCAGAAATAAATTCCATTTACTAAACGTGAAAAATTTGTGTTTACTCGCATGTTCTTTTCATATACAAAAGCATATATATTAATATCAAGAATTTTTAAAAAACTTCATTTGTCTAATGATCCTATTGCATGGAAAGATCCTTTCCTTTTTCAAAAGCCCTTCCTTCACCTCTCTAATTCGAATATTCCTCCTTTACATTGCTGTATTTCCATTTTTTGTCATGCATTTCCAATTTAGTTGGGTAATTACCAAAATAATAAAACTGCTACTCCACTTCTCTTATGCTTTCTTATCCATCTCATTTTTTGTTTTTTCTTAATTCTACTAGATTGAAGTCCATATATTTAATAATTTAGAGCAAAAACCAATCCCTCCAAAATATATGGCATTATACATAGGATTAGCTGTATTTGGAGGTTTACTACTGTTATCTATTCTAGTTATTATACTTTATAAAGTAAGTTGACTATTAATATATTCATAATATTTGAAAAATAATCAAAACATTCATTATCAAGTTGTGGAGATTGTTAAGTTCAATTCAAATCATGAACCGATTAGGGTTAGACCATCAGTGGAGCTAAACCGTATCAGGTGAGGCAGTTACCCACCGAAACGAATGGAAGTGGTTGCGTATTGACCTGGATTGATTGGAGTTAGACACTAACACCGTTGGATTCCGACCCAGTGGTCTACAGGTTAAGAGTTCATGCGTGATCCCAGAAGTCCTGGGTTCGAGTCCCATGTGCTAGATCGTGGATGTGAACCGTCGGGGAGTCCCTTACCAGAACGAAACGGCATTCCAGTGCTTCCAGATTTTCATTGTTGGCCTAACTTAGCGGTTCATGGTTTCGTTGGGTCTCCTTTTTCTAGTATTAATTTTAAAAATCATTATTTGTTGATTACAGCATATGATACATGCATGATTTTGGTTGATAAACTGATTCCCCCTTAATTGGAAGTAACTATTAGAGCTGGGAAAGAGAAAACATAATGAATTTCGACCACAACAATTATCCCAAAAGTTAATTTAATTCAGCTGTCAAAAAGCAGGTTTCATTCGATTTCAACCTAATTATTAGTAAATTTTAGACTGATTGATTTGATCAAGGACTTTTAATTTTTATCTAAATATTCAAGGAAATTTAGTGTGAATTAAGTATCATCTAACACTGACAATAGGCAATAATCATTTATATCTGTTATATCGATAAATCTTAGCTAAACAGTAAAGTGGAAACCACTTCAAAGTATAAATCTTGTTCAGTTTATGCTTGTAAACAGTGAATTGTTTATTGCCGTGATTCTAAAAAAGGCTACCCCTAAAATACACTTGGGAATCGCATAAAAAGCCTTAAATAAAAGCATTCGAACAAAGAATCAATAGGTAATTAGAATTCATTCACCAAAAAAGTCTGAATAAAATATAAACGAATGAAACTTAGGAATTCCAATGATTAACTCTACCTTGATCAAATCAAAACTATCCTCATTTGTTAAGAATAGAGATGACTAACAAGGGTAAAAGCGTATAAATGTTGTCATTAATAACAGACAATACGAATTTAAACATTGAACAAGGTTGGTCCTAATCCCACTTGCCAATATCAAACAAACAGTCAGTGATGTCATCCGAATAAACTTTTAGTTTTCGACTTATCTATACTAACTAAATAGCTTATTTTTATTTACAAATCTAGTATACAAATAATGTGAATTTGATGAACCTAATATTAACTTGCATTATTTTAGGCCGGCTTCTTTAAACGTAAACGTTTCATGCGAAGAAGAACAAAAGTACCGCCTACAGAACCAACCCAAAGACTTGGTCAATACACTTCAACTGAAGCAAAACAAAGACAGCCGTTTATTTCACCAATTCAAACAACCTATCATGACAATAGAAAAGTCAATTCAAGACGAACAAATTATCATCCAGTGCCTAACACACAGGAACCAATCTATCGTAGGACACCTTATTCACCTTCATCTGACTTTCCTATTTCACATAAATAGTAGATACTACATACACTGATTACTACAGATATAGATTTTTTTTATTTTCTAACTTATCAATTGTCCTTTATGGGTAATTCAGAAGACTATCAATAATCACAACGATATATATATATATATATATATATATATATATATATATATATATATATATATATATATATATATATATATATATATATATATATATATTTCTCGACTGCTGCTCCGAAAATATACACCACAACTACAAAATGTTCAAATCCCATCATTTTACTCAGAATACTTTTCTATTTGCTGACAATGTTTTCTCTTACCAATCTTTTTGTTACTCAATATGCCAATTATCAAATCAACGAAATAATTGCCAACTTTTTCTGAGATGCTTTCTATATTACCTTTATATATATGCTGTTCATCCGCACACACGCACATACATATCTAATTGCTGAGCATGAATGAGGCTTGGCGAGCTAATTGTTTGACTTTTTCAAATTTGTATCAATTAAACCTACTACTGATGGTAATAACAGTAGTATTAATGATGACAGTAAACTAACCTATACTAGAACATTTTCAGATGACATTTTTATATGTACAAATATCTGGATACAGCGCTGATAGTGAATTTCAACAAATATCCTTTGTTTGGCTCAACTTTTTTATAAATTTTATTTTTCGACGGAATGAAATCTTTTCAATTTATTT